AACATTAGTGTGACTCATATTAAATTAAATTTGACTCCTACGGAAGCGTAGGAGTCGAATTTTATTTTATTTAATATAATATAAGTTAATTTAATAAAAGATGGCATACTTTGGGAGAAGTCCCAAAGTATGCTATCACTTTTCCTTTTTCCTACCTTCTCGTACATGTCAAATCAACACCAATTAATATTGCGTATTTTTAGCCGGGTATAAAAGTTCAATAAATATTTTACTGAAAAATTCAGTATTTGTAAATTGTTCATTAAAAAAACTGTATTTACTAGAATTTACATAAATTCATTGTTTAAAACACGTAACAGTTAGCTTGTAAATAGTCAAAGGTACACTCATTACTTCTTTGTTAAAAATCTTTGAAATTTACTGCTAATGGCCCGATAAAAGGTACTGTGCTATATAATTGCCTGCCGCCATTAATAAAATCAATTGTTAGCGCATCTCTGGTTCCAATGAAAAGAGCCAAGAATTCTTCAAATGACGTTGATTAAGAACGGACCATCAATAAAGTACTGCTATCTGGAATACCATCAATACTGACATTAATTATCTTGTACTAGTCTCTGAGATGTAAGTTTGGCTGAATCAAATGCTTGTGAAATGCGTTTAAATTGTATAGTTTATTTAAGATCTAGCTTCGATATAGGCTATCAAGCTACCAAATATGGTTCTTAGTAAATATTCTGTGATTTTACTATAAAGGAATTATTTATTAACATATAGCATTCTGAAAGCTGACAAGGATATGTTAGCTGATATGTTGGTAAGCTTGTTTCTTTTGTTGTAAACTTATTTCGTCGTTGCCTTTTACTCATGTCTTTAATTTGTATAGTCAACGTAGTGCAGCACATGTTCACGTTTATCTATTCTTTGCTTGTATTTGGTGGGAGTTATCTGAGTTGGTATTGTTTATATTTATCTAAATGACATTTCGCTTTTAGATCCCATCGTTCGTCGCCAAGAATCCGAACATTCGTCAACTGTATGCGCACCATTGCTCACACATTTCCCATCACCTACATCCCATTTAAAATTCTAAGATTCCAAACATTTGAGGTATTTTAAAACAAAGAAAACACGCCGTATATTCAAATGGAATCCTATAAGTGATTTGTTTATTGTGACACAAAGAAGTAAATTACGAAGCTACTGCTAGAACAGACAATTTATTATACGAAATTTCTGATTTGTTTTGATGTGGGTTGTTGTTTTAACATGTATGATAAAATATCACTAAAAAGTAACCTCGTGGACTTAAATGTTTTGTTTCAGAAACAAGCGAATTTATTAGATGCTTTGCGAAATCTTAAACACTTCCTGTGTTTTACATTACTGCAAAAAACATTTTTAAAGAAGTAATATTTTAATGAGGTATTAAAATATTACTTCTCTAACAATGTTTTTTAACTACTGAACACACGTAAAATATAGATAAAGGATGTAAACGAAATATTTTATTGCTAAAAACTTTTACTCTATTTAATTAACACCGTGTCATTGTCACCTTTACTAAGATTTTTATCCGATCTTTTTTCTACGTCAATCTATGGATCCAAAGCTCAAAATTTTAATTCTCAACATTTGAGATATTATTGACTTATTTTCGAGGTCTATCTAAATATAAACGTATTTTATTTAAACGACCTAAGTGGCTAAAACAGAAAGTTTAAATTGAAATACAATAACATTGAAGCGTGGATGGTACACAGCTTAGATATTTATTTATAATTTACAAACGTCGTGACGGCTATCGGTTTAGTTACGCTTCTTGTGAACACGTTTAAATGGAGTTTCATCACTATACGAGTAGATAACACTTGTACAGAATCGTGAATGCTTCCAAAGTTACAACTGTCAGGGTTGGCACACAAAACAAAACATCATTAATTTAAAAAATTAACACATTTTATAACCATCGTAAAGATTCCTATATTTAATTGGAAATTAAAGTCTTATTTAAAAATTCTTATTTAAAATTATTTAAAAATTCTGCTAAGGGGGTACTCTTTCTTTCTTTTTTTATGGAATAAGGGGCAAACGAGCAAACGGATCACCTGATGGAAAGCGACTACCGCCGTCCATGAACGCATGGAACTCAGAAGTCTCAAGTGCGTTGCCAACCTTTGAGGAAGGAGTACGCTCTTTTCTTCAAGGTTCGAAGTTCGTATCGGTCCGGAAATACCGCAGCCGATAACTTGTCCAAAACGTTGGTAGTGCGAGGCAAAAAGCGTCTTGGTCTTGGTCTTGAAAAGCGCACAGTTGTGGAGCGCCAATTATCTAAGATATTATATATATATCCGGTGTGGATGAAAATTTTGTGTGGAACGGTGGCGGAAGGTTGCGGCTGGTATTAGTCCGAACAATTCCTCGTAGCACTCTCCATGATATTTACGATAGAGAATGCAGAGCGAAGCTACATCTCTATGTAACGCCAAGGGGAAGAGCCGATTCGAGTCGCTCTTCTTTGGATACTCTTTAAAATATTCTATAATATTTGATCGCTATGTTTACTGACACTAAGGATGCCTCAAACTACACCTTCTAGAATATGTATAGTTTAGACATGGTGTATATATTTCTTTGGAAAATACATACATATATATAATAACGTTTTCCAACAAAGTAATGCTGATTGTTATAAATCAGTATTACTTTGTTAGAAAACGTTATTATTTTGTAATAAAATACAATTCAAGTAACAAATATACGTTATGTTTGCACAGTTTCACATATATCCAAGTACGTAAAAACTATTTGTTTTACTAAGTATCCTTGTATGATAGAAGAAAGTTAAAAACCCAATCTCAACGTTTCAGTCTGATCTACATGAATAGATTATGAGTGAATTTGGTTACCGAAGCCTAAAACCCCCTAGTTCTGGAGAGGGGGAGGACACTGAAAGATGGCAACGCACTTGTTACTCCTAGTTTCTGGTAATTATAGGCGGCGGTAGTCACTTTGCATCAGGTGAACCGTCTGCTTGTTTTCCCCCTAAACCATAGTAAAAATAGTAAATTAAAATTTTCAGACTCAAACGTAACACGACCCTGGCCTCCACTGGTCACAGTTCAAATTGCCCATCTCAGAGTAGTGTTATCACTATCCATACTTACGATTAAGTGCAAGCTAAGTCTTTAAAGGTATACAGAGGTTCATATTTTTTAGGAAATATGTACATAGTAGTTAAATAATTATAAACCAGCCCTAACTGCCGACCTAAACAACAAAAGCATTGATTTGAATCAGTCAATACCAACAACATAGATATCAATAAATAAAATACAAGTACGCTAGCAACAACACTCGAATGTAACATTAATTAAAAATGTGATAGAGCTTTGAATCTTGTAGATGTTTACGAAACTTTTGATATTAAAAATGCTGTTAATCAAACTCCAAGTGCTAAAAACCAATTAAAATTGACAGGCGACTTACACAATCGGGATGGACAAACTCCAGACCAAATAGAATATATAATTGAGTTCACCTTCGTCAGTGTGACATGAAGATTGTTTTTAAAGGTGCATAGAAATAGCAATTAACGTTTTTTGTCCAAAAAGGGTTTTGTTATTAGATTTTGTTAAGTATTATGTGAATAACTAATTACTGTATAAAGTGTGGAAAATTAACTAAACTCATTTTGATATTTTGATTATTTATGACAGTAACATTTGGTCTTTATTTTTACATTTTATATCATTCCACTTTATGAAAATACTAAAATAATAGTCTATAGTTGCATCTCCGTTAATGGGTTTATTATATATAAAACTGAGTTGTTTTTAAGAGCTCTTTGATATGGTAGCAGAAACTCCGGCAGGAAATGTGGGTCAACTCAAAAAATTCTCATAATAGACTCGTATCGCATTGATGTTGATAATGATTAGAACGTATAAGAAATGAATTAGAAGTAGCTTTCAAATCTGATTTATTCTTAAAATAATTTTAAACATGAAATAATTTTAACCCAGATTGTAGAAATCAATAGAACTCATTGTTTAATTCATGTGGGTCAAGTAATCACCTGAGTTCACCCCAACCAAATTGTTTAATCATTTTAACACAATCTTGAGCCACGAAGCGGAAAATGTTCTTGGAAACAAATCCTATTAAGGAAAAATAGATTTCAAGAAGGAAATATCGTTCGGTCCCCACGAAAACGGAAATAGAAATAAGCTGAACGGAAGTGAAACTAATTAAGTTATCCACGGTTCGCTCGAGTTGCGGTTTATTTTCGTACAATTCCCTTGTTCAAATAATAGTTATACTGTCAACATTGTAGGAGTAACATACACTGATGTGCTGATAGCGATTTTACGTGAAATACTGAAGAGGGAATAATTAATGGTTAGTGTTTATGCAATTTAAATTTTACGAGGTGGATATAAAGTTGGTTTTCGTTTGACGGAAGTGTCATTTATTAGGTGGGGTTCACGGTATCCAAATATCTATGTTTTGCGTGTAAATAGGCGCGAGTGAAGCTTCAAACCAGGTGCGGACTTGGAGTGAAATCGATGGCGAAACTTCGAGGGTATATATTATTATGACAGTTGCTGTTTATCCTCTGCGACACGGAATATGTTTTAACTTCGTAATTAGAATTAGCCAGCACGTAAACGAAAGCTATTACTCTTATTACAGTTCGTGATTCGTGAAGTTTTAATTGGTCCTTATATTGCTTATGACGTTTTTGAGATGTAAACGTGTACCAGACTCATGTTTTAATTTGTTCTCAGGATATAAATAAAATATTTAAAGAGTTGTTTTTCTTTTATAGGCATATATGAGTTTTTATTTATTAAGTATTTGTAGGTTTAAGCATATATTAATAGTTTACAAATAATAGTTTTTCAAAGGTATAAACAATTATCATTTTTCTAACAACAGTCCACTTTTGACTGCTGATGTCTCTGTGTCTCTGTCTGTAAAAAGTCTTGTAGTAGTATTTTTATATGATTTTTTGATGAAATACGTTTTTGTTACAGAGGTATCAAATACAACGGAAGCAGAACACACTTCATTGGTTCCCACACCGCCTATACCATTGCGACCAGAATATGCTCACCCCGCCGGGGTAGAAGCTCTTGATCCCTATAATTCCGAGAAAGTAAACGCGCCCCCACACCATAGAGACTATCTAGAAGAAGATTATGATCACAAATCAAATAAAGAAGATGAGCATGAAAATAGAGAAGACGCGGATGAATTGCCGTCTCTCTCTGGAGATCATCTTTTACAAGGTTCAACAGATGATCTACCAATGTTTCTTCTTGAACCTCAGCATGCGTTTGTGGTGAGAAGCAAACCTGCCGTATTAAGATGTCGAGCTGCAAATGCTCTGCAAGTTTACTTTCAATGTAACGACGTGAGATCAGTTGCCAGTACGCAATTCGAATTTGTAGATCCCCAAAGCGGTGTAAGAATCGTGGAAGCTGAATGTAATGTTACCAGAGATGATTTAGAGGAATATTTTGGTGAAGATAGATTCACATGTACCTGTAATGCTTGGAGCAGCAGAGGCGATATTAGAAGTCAGCCAGCTGTTGTTGAATATTCATGTAAGTACTTATTTACTATCATATAAATGGATAGATTCTTATGTATTTAGTGACTTTTGGTTTTTGATAAACATTCCAATTAATCACTAGTATTTCAGGATATACAGTCGTAGTTGAATTATGATATTAATGGAAATAGCACTTCACAAATGTCCCTGATCTTAAAAATTTTTAAACTAATAATAGGTTTATGCTGCACTGTGCAACAAACTTTATATAATTTACTTTTTGAAATATACATGTACTCGTATTAGATGACACTGATTTACGAGTATCTACCTTAGCACTTTTAACTTACTACAACAACATACAATTTGTTACCGTATCGCACGTAAATATTAATGAATGTTAGTAGAATTTTAATCATGTATTTCCGCCTTTTAATGCTCTCTTAATCTTGCATCGACATATCTAATAATTTCCATATTTATAGCATCTGTGGTATGGTTATAAAAATATCTTATTTCCTGTCGAACTAGCACGTTAGGTGGGGAGCATTTCATCAAAACTCATAATTCGTGGCCAGTTTCCGTGGTCAATTTTAGACTAACCCAGTTGAAATAGTTGCACGCCCATCTCCGGTTGAAATCATTACGAGAGTAGTTTTAGATCTGGATTCATTTGTCGGGTCAAGACAGATATAAAATAATTCATTTTGAAAAATTTATCTTTTGAATACATTTGATAACTAGCACCTAAATAATAATAATAAACTTTAATGGACACGAGTGGACCATTCACTGACCAGACTTTAATTACACATAAAAAATAAAATTCAAACATCCTCAAATATTTATAGCGCCCTCACTCCTCAATCAATTTCACTAGTACTTTCATCGTGACCAAAATAGAATCACCAAAAAGACCATGTTTTGACAAGACAAAGTACTTCTCCCATCAAACTCCGGTGATGTATAGCACCATTAATATCGTTCATAAACTGTATTACGGACAGTTGCTCGATTAAATTCAATACTCATTCGTGGTAAATCTTCTATGCATATTAAATAAACGTCGGAATGACCGCAGCCCGGATTTATGGCTGTTGGGCAATACTTGAGATGGTCAAGAGCGAGCAATATACACACATATACTTGCATACAAACTAACGCCTTAACTTCGTTCTTATAAAAGTCTATTTTGATTAATTTGGTTTTCTGCACTTCTTTTTTTAAAGCGTGAATTAAATAATAGTGAAGTGAAGCTTGAGTTCAGTATATGTCTATTTGCAAAAAAGGCAGGCGAGAAAAAACAGGGAAAGAAGATAAGCCTTTTAGTGAAACCTTAGGGTTTCACTAAAAGGTGTTAGTACTACTATTCAAGTTAAGTGTATCAGCTAAGATTTTATGCCAACTATACATCAAGCAAACACGATGAGATATGTTACAAAAAGCAACAAAAACTGTCATCATCAGGATCAACAGCCTTTGATAGTATACTGTTGGGCATAGGCCTCTCCTTAGAAATGAGGTTTTAACCTACAATAAGATATAATTTTCGATGTCAAAATTTACGTCAATATTTTAAATAGACAAAAAGCAATATTTCATTACAAATCTTTAGGTACATAAAACCACCTCAAACTTCCGTACTAATGGCGGAATAGTTTCACAATACAAGTTTAGCGCCATAAACATATTTAACAACCCAATTCCAGATTAAATACGGACGTAATTCACAGCATTCAATGATCTCTGCAATTGCAAACCACGTTCATGTTATTAAATATAAAGTTCATTGTTGGAAGTAAGTAGGGCATTGAAATTTGATTTGGATTTAAGGTAAAATAATTTTAGACGGTACCGGTAAGGATTTTTTGGAAAATTCATTGAATGTTTTGTATAAAGGTACCGCATTCTCTCTGTAGGCGAAGGGACTTTACATCTTTGTGTGTGCACGTAATGTTAATGGTATGTTTGGCTAAGTGATCACTTGATGGGGCATTTATTTATTTAACTTATCTTATGTTCTGTTAAAAAAAGCAGCAAACAAGATGATGTTTGATTTCGGCGTCTTTTGTAAGATGCTAATTTAAGTAGCAATAGAACAAAAATCATAAAAAGTATTCTATTTTCTTCAATTTCATTATTGACTTCTCAGTACTTTAAAATCATCTTTAAAATGCACACAATTAAAAATGTCAATAAATCAGCATTTTCAGACTTTGAGTGAATGTAAATTTTTTTGCAGACCCGGCGTTAAAACCATTGTAGGCGGGATTTTTCATCCAAATACACAAGATAATATAATTAGGGGAAAATTTCTTCACAAATGTTTTTTAATACTGTTACAATTTACAAAACTGAATTAACACAAATCTCACTGTAGAATAGAATAGAATATTATTTATTTCATACAAGTTCTTTGGTCGAATGCTCCGCAAGAACTTGTAGAGTCACATTTACGTCGAGCTTAAACATATTAAAGCAAACAGAAGCTTACCACCAAATCCCGTTTTTATTATACCTTCCAGACATAGCCATCCTATTTCCGAAGTTGTGCACGAACAATTAAAGCCGTCAGAGGTAGATTTAGTGTGTGTTCACCATACAGTCTGTTCGCACAATTAAGAACAGTGGTTATGTCTCTCGTCTCTCGATTTCTGTATTGTGTATATTTAGACATTTATGAGTTTACTCTGAACATTTCTGGATGACTGTACCCTGCGTGGGTTTTGTTCTAACTTGTTGCTTATTGTTGTGCTGCAGACCTTTACTTGAAATGGACCAAAAGGTTATTTTATTAATTTGTACATTTACGTCTTGTGTGGTTGTACTTTTATTACAAAGTGCAATTATACCTGTCATAAGTCAGTATCAACCAAGCCTTTTTTTTTGTTGACGGGGTGGAAAATCCCTTCGGATCTCTTGCTCCTCGGGGACTCAGGAGCCAGGAGTATGTGGTGATTCCACTAAAAACCACCCCGACGGCCGGCCTTAGGTGTCCTACTCTGGGGAGGACCCGGACCATGTTATTTCAGGTCCTCCCCGAATTGACACCATGCCTAATCAGGCCCTATCCCAGGGGAATCAACCAAGCCTAACGTTAAAGAAATCAGTTCTTTTTTAAAATTTGAACCACGAACGTGAATCTATTTTTAAATACAGACTAATAAAAGTCGGTTACTACAAACATATCCATCACTCAGATATTTCTCTTTGTTATTGCAAAACCAGTGAACAAACATTCATTTATCTGAAATGATTGGTGCAAATACTTTGTGTTCAACAAGCAGACTCCTGACCGATCGTTCATGATTGATGCACTTACACATTCGCCTCTTAATGGAATATGTACAAGTCCACGTCTAAAATACATTCACTCAAATACTCCTCTACTTAAATACTCGAAACGCTATCTATGAAGCTATTAACAATAATGGATGAATGGTAAGTACGCGTAAAAGTGTCACAGTTAAGTCTCCTACCACGATTTACTGGATCCAACTTGGAATGTGATGTTTTCATGTTTACAACCGTGGCAGGGGCTTTTAATGGATCGGCGTCATCTATATTTAACATTTCATTGATTAAAGTAATGTAAGCTCTACTTGAAACTTAATACAGTATTATGAAGAAATATGCTTGGAGCTGAATATTATTGGCATTATTGATTCAAGTGGCCAACATTGCTTTATTTCTTGAATTCTGTTTGCAGCAAAGCAGAATATTTATTTATTTTAAACTTAACGCACATGTTGTACAAAGGCGGACTTAATGCCATTAGGCGTTCTCTAGTAAACCTTCAGGTGATGTAGAAATATGATGCGGTAGGTGCTAAATAAAATATTAAATTTAGCATATTTGAAGTCCAGAGCATACAAAATATATAAACACACATATAAAAGTAAACATACATACATAAACCTACATAAATGTAATAAAATATATAAATACTCAGTCGGGTACTAGCGTTGTGACTGTGTGTGTGTGTGACAGAATAATAATTTATCTTAAAATTACTGTGCCGCTTTTTATCATAAGAGCCAAATTAACAATCAAATGACTGAGAGACTTACCCTTTTTTTTTTTGTCCTTGCGGAAATCCCCTCGGATACCACCTGTCGGTGGCATGTAGGACTCGAACCGACTAAATCCGCACGCCGTCTCGGGTACGAATAGCCGGGGAACCAGGTATACCCTAGAAAGGAAGTCCCTGGTGCCAGGACAAGACAGACTTACCCTAGAATAAAGATGAGTTTTATAATAAAAGATGAATCGATTGACTGTGGTTACAATCTTAGAATCATAGAAATAACTAAACGAATGGTTAAATGAAAAGCTATGTAAGTGGTGGTTTACTATAGTTGTTAGGAAGGTTGTTAAAAAGCGACATAATTTAGCTTTCTAGTCATGGGTTGACAGGTGAGGCTAACGTTACCTACGAGATCCTTGGTCAATTTTCCTAAGATTTATGTTTAGCGATCTTCTAGCATCATAGATTCAGACTGATTGTAATAGATTTTTTTTTATAAAAAGACAACTCCCGCATTAGGAATATATCCTGTGTCGCGGGGGACTTTACAAACATACATGAAACGGACACAAAGGACACCCAGACTCAGAACAACAATCCAGATTTGTCTCCATTACATGGTTTTAAAAAATAGAGGCTTGTAATACGTCTAATATTTAAAGGTATACTAGTAAAAGTATATATATGACAAAGTAAACAACCTTTACCTTTGAAGAAGTTGTACTGATCTGCAGGATTCCATTACCTATATCAAAGTCTGTAAAAGAATATTGTATTTATGTTGTTGACCAAAATGTGGAAAATTTAACTTTAATAAGTAAGTTTATGCTGTGAAAGCGTTATAAGGTAAAATTTAATTAAAACTCCATCTCACTTGCTAACGCTGGAGTAATTTATCATTTAAAACAAACAGATAACTTGTCCAGAGAATAGAAGTGACTAGGTACAAAAAGTAGGGGCTTAAATAAAAGCAGTTTTGCTGCGAATATAATTCAATGTTAACAGACAGAATATCCGTAGTCTGCGTGCTCGTTGGATTTTTGATAACAGAGATATAAAGTTTGATGAAGTCAAGGAATTTGTTTCTGAATGAAAATTACAATCTTTAAAGTGTAAATCTGAATAACTAAATAGTGTACATACTCATCCCATTTTTTTTTGAGGTTTCATAAAATAAAGAGGAAGAAAGTAATATCAGTTATGGTACGAAGAGATTCAGATCATATTTATAGTTTTAAATAGTTCCTTAGAAAGTAATAGGGTTATGGTGTCGAAGAATGTAAAAATCACTTAAGCAGAACTTAAGCCTTGTGTTACTAACTTTATAAATGTGAAACAAATACTAGTAAAACACAACTTGTCAATGTACTTTCTAAGGAGAGGCCTACTTCCAGCAGTGGACTGTTATAGGCTGTTGATGATGATGATGATGAATGTACAAAGATAAACTGCGCATAAAAGTTACTACAATACGACTGTAAGCCTAATTCAAATGATACTGAAACTAGTTTTAAGTATTAAGTTGCCGAGCTAGGCGTAAAGAAAATTTAAAGTTATGATATTATACTCTGCAAATAGATTTCACTGCAAAATAATTAATAAAATGCTATCTATCTCTTTCCATCTTATTTGTACCTTGGACCTCATGAACTAGAAAATAGGATTTCTTTAGAAATATATATTCATATTATGCCACACAATTGAAGATTTAATAATATTTGAAAATAATATGCCTTCTCATTTTTTATAGAACATTTATTATAATAAATACAGAATTTAAATACATTCATAAATAGAAAGCGCAAGCATATACGATAACATAAAAACCTTAAAGTTATTGGTCACTGACGAAATTATTTTTTGGATGAGTATAATTCTCATAATATGGTTTTATACACAGTATTTTACAAAGAGCAAAATAATTACAAAGCTCTAATGCACGGCTACTATAAAATACATCAAATACTAAATTTTATGACCGATTTAATGCAGTAAGTACCGTATCCAGAATATCTAAGTCCATAACTACATAGGTACAAATTTCGTAGAGGAAATGAAACTCGCTCCGTAATTTATGACTTTATACGAACTCCGCCGGATCTACCTAACACTTATCATTTACGCTCATCAGACTTAGAGTTTAAAGTTACAAAGAATTTTAAATTCAAATTTACATTGTAGTAAAAATTGATTTACTAATACCTGTCACCCATTGATCGGTTTAATACAAAAAAGTAGAGTTTTTTATTTTATTATTATATGTTTGTTTACACACGCTAATTCTGGAATTGCCAGTAACATCGATTTTTTTTTTTGTAGTAGATAAAGTATTTATCGAGGCTATGTAATTTTATTGCTAAAATCCAGAAGCGATGAACATAAAGACAAACGAAAGCGCACAAAACGACTAGTAAGAAATAAAGCACCGCACATGAAAATTTAACACACATGCACCATGCACCAGCTGATAAAACTATTCAAAGTAAACTAGTCTTTTAAACTATCAAATATAGTTTCACATACACAAGAGACGGAAATTTTTAAAGAAATATAAATTTCCAAGTCTCACGTACTGCTAACAGTTGAAAAATTCTTACAAATAGTATCACTTCAACATGTTTATAAGTTTCAGTTGCAGAAAATACTGTAGTTTTCACCTCTACAATATCTTAGCTGTGAGTGCAAGTAATGGAACGTTCGCCCAATAGATTTACGAGCGCACTACGTTCAATCTCTTTGGAGTTGAGGGTGAAACATTTTGCGCCGATCGTATTCTGTATTAGTGTTATAGTGGTGCTATTTGTTAGATTTTACACTAGACTAATGATGTTGTTTAGGTTCATTTTGAATGGTATTTACATTTAGTCTCAAAGTAAGCTTGCTGTTCAAAATGCTCAAAAATTTAATCTTATAATATCATCTAGAATTCTAGATATTAAGAAAACAACATGCTTTACACGTACAAAATTACAATCTTTAAAGTGTCAATCTGAATAACTAAATAGTGTATATACTCATCCCATTTTTTTTTGAGCTTTGATAAAATAAATAGGAAGAAAGTAATAGCAGTTATAGTAAGAAGAGATTCAGATCACATTTATAGTTTTAAATAGTTCCTTAGAATGTAATAAGGTTATGGAGTCGAAGAATGTAAAACAGTTTAAAAAAAAAGAAACTATCATATCATAAAATGAATAACAAAAGGATAATGATAATACATTATAAAGGTTCATACCCAATCAAGGAAAAGTAATGAAAGTAAAACATTATCCAATAACTATAACTTAATACTAATATTTTTGGAGACGTGACACAAATAAAGTTTACGTCAATAACCCAAATTCCATTAAGCTTGATAAAAAGTGGCACACAGTCGGATAATGACATCCAGACAATTAATATTGGACGATTATACGGTGGAAACGTACCAAAATAGCGTTAAAGTGTTTAATGAATGACAATTATCGGCGTGGGTCGATGCAGTAGAGCTGTCGCGCAAACTATATAATCGACGTACTCATTGAATTTTTATATGAAGATTGACGTGAGAAGTTATTCTGGAGTATAACACAGAGCGAGGCTATGAAAATTGCGGAGACAATGAGTTTACTTATATCACCAAATTTATGATATTATACTGATACAAGAAATTTTAACGGTTTCGTTTGAAGAGGTAGATGGAAAGAAAGAAAAAGGAGTTTGGGCAGAAAGTGGAAAACAGCAGAGCTTCTTGTTCGAATTGAGCATACCTGACTAGAAACAAGACAATCCCGCAGAGTATCATGCATACTATCGTAGTGCTATGCTTTTTCTACCAAATATTTGGGTCATCATGAAAGTGGGAATAGAGTAGATTTTTTTTTAAATAAAACAATTTTGTTTCTGTCATCAAAAAAATAAATAACGGCTTCACATATAACGCCTTATCAATTATGAGGTCGATTTTATGTAGATCAGTAAAATTACTCAATTTTTTAAAAAAAAAATATTTTTTCTGTTCCGTGTCATATTCTGAACCCGCGTTATTACACAATGATCACTAACAACAATTATTAAATTAGTTCAAAAGCTTTTGGTAGTAACCATCGCGTGTTTTAATTGTTATTGACATCCAATTGTTATGTTATTGTGCTTTAATTGTTACGTAAAATTGTAACAATGTTAACAATAATTGCGCAACAGTTGAAATTTGATTCTGATGCGGGATTAAATAAATAGTTAGTTTCTATAAACACTGTTGTAAATTCGTGAAATTAAAATAGTACGCGTATGACAAAACAAAATTTACGATGTCATTTCCTGAGGCATATTAAAATTTATTTACATCTGGCACGTTTAATAACCAACGAAACTCATAAGTTTAGTAGATTACATAAATATTGTTGAGTTATCAAAATGAACATGACGCTTGTACTTAGTGGCATTAAAATCTAAATCACTTGTAATTTATAATGATTAACAATTCCATAGATAATATATGTCGGTACTCTAAGTTTTAAAAAAATGTATGGATTTAAGTTCAGTTTCATGAGTTACACAAAACAACATTTAGATGATGAACAAATCATGATGTTAAATCTGTGAAATTAAGTAAATTTTTTTTATTTTTTTTTATTTTATCTCCACAAATTACACAAATCTTAATATATAAGTTGACAATTATTTAGCTTAATTGGTAATTTGTGGGAGATCTGGAGTCCAAACTAAGCCTAGGCCTGTATTTTAGAAATACCTACTAGTGTGTATTTCTCAAAATTATATTTCAATACTTAATATTACATATGTTATTTTAAATACTTCATCATATTCGTAGCTCCAGCTATTCATATTAATCATATTTTTAATACCTTTCACAGATATAAAGAAACCATTTGCAATATCGCCAACGTCAACATCAGTTGAGGCTGGATCAGCTGCAACACTGAGATGTTCTCCGCCTGCTGCGGTGCCTGTTCCTCGCCTATCTTGGCTAAAACACGGCCAACCGCTTCAGCAAGATCACAACGTAATAATATCAGCTGAAGGAAATTTGTTGATATCGCGAGCTACGCTGCAGGTAAGTCTCCATTTATACTGATTCCTTTTTTGTTACTTTTATCATTGTAAGCTTTTTAACTTAACAGCATTTAATTACATATTAGTAGACGTTAAGGTCTTAATGTCCGTGTGGTGACGGATTAAGAATACAGAGTATCACCACCCCCATTCATCCCGTGAGTGTCGTAAGACCCGACTAAGGGAGAAAACTACGCAGAACAACAGCACTTCAGAGAGAAGGAAAAATTGACACAAACCCTATACCAACTCGTCTGGTCAGCGTGGTATATTAGACCAAAACCTCCTTTCTAAGGAGAGGCTCATGTCCAGCAGTGGACTATTAAAGGCTGTTGATGTGAAGGTCTTAATGTTAACTAACTGTTATACTAACAATATCGACGTCAATCGTATACATGAATAAAAAGTGACCGCTTCTAAACAACTTTGAGTTGACATTATTATTATATGAAATCTGAACCAAGAAACATCGATTTATAAGTTTACCTTTAGACGTCCCAAAAACAAAAGACTATTCTAAATGACGAGATAAGAAAAAAACAACATGTAAAATTCTCCCGAGCTATTGGTTCCATTGTTTATTTTTTGAGACCCGACTTGTATTTCTTGGCGGCTCTGGACAAAAGCTTACAAAATATTTTGATTCGAAATTTATTTTTAAGTGGCGATGGCAACTCTGTCTTTACTCATCTTGATAAGTTTATTGTTCAAGATGTTTATTTCTGTAAAGTATGTTTGTTTTTATTTAATCAAATTTACAAAAACAAAAACTGGTAGTAAATTTCTTTCAAACCATCAATGAAGTATTTTATACTGAAATATAAATTCTAGTAGATTGTAGTAGGTAGTCTTGATTCTAGTAAACAAATTGTAAGATAAGCTTAAGAAAAAAGGTTTTTCTTAACGCTTAATATTACCTGACTTAGTAAAATTTGTAAATTAGAAACCACTAGTAAAATGCTACCGAGTGGTGCTACCGACCATTTAAATCCCAGATGCTCATTATTTATGAGGTATAAATATATGTTACAATACTAAAAACTGCTTGAAATATGACCACAAATCTAAACAAAAAGTACCAAGATGATCTTACGATAGTTCTGTGAACACATGTCGATATTAGGCCAACTACTTGTAGAGTAATAAAACATCTGTAACAACCTTACATTTTTTAAATGACAGAGAACTTTATGCCTGTAATTTAAGACTATTTATTGAATGTTATTGAGAATACCAGAAATGATTCACACTCACACGTGGCAAAATTTCGAAGAACATGCAGATCGTAAGAAATAAAGAAACTAGTTAACATATTTTTTATTTTGAGTTTAGTTTAGTAGTTCTAATATAATTTGATTGTTTTGAGGCCAATCTAAACACTTAAATACCATTCCAATAATACCCTACACAACGCATTATTATTCCAATTTTATCATTCACTAAAAAAAGAAACTTTTAATTTAGGTGCCATACAACACAACACAATTATTTACGAATAAAATTTACCATCATATCCCTTTCATAACAGGTGGCCGTAAAGTTTGGAATAATATAATATTTACCATTATAACTTTACTCCGTTGACCCATAATTTAAATTATATAGAAATAAAATATAGATAAGATCAGTGTTGCATTTTGCAACTTGACACTGTACGCTGTAGGATCGTAATCATTACGTAAAATCTTAAGTCGCAACATTAGTCCTACATGGCTATTTCTAATTGAATCACCAATTACATGTAATGTATGTATTACATTCTAAATATAGACTAGTTTTAACTGAAAGACACGCACCTCATTAAAATGCCCGTTCGAAGCGTCAGCGCGCACAATCGCATCATCTTGTCGCACGATTGCAAATTATTTATTTTATCTTTGCGACTGCGACTAATTAGTCGACCACGACGGACGTTTATTAATTGCGACACAAGTCGCTGTCAAGTATACGTTCCTTTTCTTGCTAGTCTTTTTGTCGTCCAGTGTAGTCTTTCAAAGCTGTTGGATATACTCTTATAGTGTTAAGCTTAGTGTTAATCCAAGAATATATTTCATGGTAGAGATAGAAAATAATTTTATGCTATATTACTGTCTTCCAATGTTTCTTTTTTTATTAAAAAAGTTTCACTTCAGTAAAATTCTTAAACGAAAATCAAAACTGTAAGTACATAATAACTCTAGAGTGCTTTGAGTTTGAACTAGGCTATTCTTGCTCACCTGCAATAAAATTTATTATTTTTGTCTCTCCATATCCTATTGGGTACATTAAAAGAATAAATTATTAGATTGATTTCAGATTATTTGGATTTAAAAACGTTACACGTAACCCACTCTTTCACATAAGCCTTTGGTCTAATTGAAAGGGTGATGCTAATACCAGTCATATGCGACCCTTGTAAAAAAATAACAACATAAGTAATTCTAATAAATACAAGTTGCTATATAGGTCAACAATTTTAATGATAACAAACAAGAGAAAGTGAAAGTTCACTCCCATATTATAAACCTCATAACCAAATAATGGCACAATCGCAAATAACTCATTCCATCTCCGGTTTCCGCTACGCAGCTCCCACTAATTAGGCACTGTGAGCAGACATGGATTAATTGCTGCCACTGTCAGTCGCCCTCTCATTGTGGGATCGTGTGTAACATAATCTTCACAAAGGTGTCTAGAAAGCTTTCTTAATGAATATGATCGTAATGTGTTGTACGTCTTTAAAATTAATGGCTCCCGTCCTTTGTAATTTTAACACATTCAGCGTTTTGGTTGTAAAAATATATTACGGAGATGGGTGTTATAATGAACAGTTTAAATTTATATTTGGTGCTTGAAACAATGCGGGCGCTAATTTAGTTTATTTACTTCAAGAGAACGATTTAAGGATTTGATAAAATACATCATTTTTGTTTTAAGCTTATACCCAATCTGTGTAAGGTTTGGTAGTGGTATTGAATAAATAGGTACCCGTTAAATTTATCGACTTCATAATGTCTCTCATAACCCACGTGCGATGCGAGCTTAGTTCGAGTATTACCATCTAGAATATTGAGTACAGTGCTATTATAGTCAATAATTTGTAGCAGATTACTTAAATTTATTCTATGGTTACTTAATGGAACAAGATGAATTCTAAATATTTATTCTTGGAGCATTTGAAAAAGCTTTGTTGACTGTTGCAGTTGATGGTGATGGTGTTGTAGGAGATCGTCTAGGTAGTGACGTAGATGATCAATAAAAGTTATGAATTATCTAAATTAATTTTTAAATTTAACAGGATATGGCGAACTACAGCTGTGTGGCAGAAAACATTGCTGGCAAAAGAATTTCGGAACCGGCACTTTTGACTGTTTATGGTAAGTAAAGAATTAAATAATTAAAAATACTTAATAGAGTAAGCTAGATATAAAGCTAATTTAAAAAATGTTCTTGGTCTGCTTCGGAAGGTAGCAGAAGTAGCGGTAGAATGGTCAACTGCATTTTAGTTATGGCAGTATTGTAACTTTTGTACATCATAGGAGCTACTGGCCCAAAAACAGCTTCTTTACTGAGCTTTTACAAAGCAATATTTTTAATAAGAAGAGAAATATATCAACTGACTCACATCATCATTATCAACAGCCTGCTATCCACTGCTGGACTTACGCCTCTCCTTAAGAAGGGGGTTTTGGCCTACTAAACTCAACTGAGTAAAAAATATAAACAATTTTATAAAAAAGACATAATAGCCATGTGAAGCTATACCAAGGTATCAGAAGTAAAATTCATTATTTCCTTTAATACCTATACATTATTACCCTATACTGTTACTTGAAGGATTAAAGAATACTTAATAGCAGTAATAATAGCTGCATTTAAATCTTCGCTAACGTTTTGCAATCACGAAAGTGCTTCCTAAACGGGTCTGCTTCGTGTCTAACACCAATAATTAAGAACTATAAAACTAAACACTGAATTGCCACCTTAAACTGTATTACAGCATTCTTTTACTGAGTATTTTTATCTAATGGATTTGTTGTTAAATTATAAGGTAGTAAACGTGTATTGCTATTTAAATTTTCATTGGTATTTTCGCATTGATATTTCTAAAGAGCTGATTCAATCCCGGACATATTAAATGCATTCAGAATTAATGTATCCTTATCAAATCCATAACTTGAAGCAGTAAGCGCAGCTATTATGAACTAAAGAGCGTAAGACAATTTAATAGGTACAGCTCACCAAACAAGTTATGGTTGGATGTTTCATTATTTCACGTACGATTTATCGGACAAGCTGTTTAACGCTCATTTCACCCTCACTGTTCGTAATAACTATCTTTACTTCAGTGAGATCAAAGGGCATGGGCCGATAGTTGGCAATTATAGGAACGTATGGGAGAGTCATTACGCCTACGCGCTTGGCGCCATCTAACTGATAGCAATCATCACCTCTGACTTGCACGTCCTAAAACACTGGTTCGTATTCATGATTCATATTTAATTTTAGTACCGTGACCACTGCATTTCAATACTTGTATACTCTTCTTTATATTCTGATGTAAGTATTGCATCTGTCTGACTGACTAACTTTTAAGTATCAATGACCTTTTGGTTTTCTTTTGTTGTAAAGAGTTTCCGTTTAGTTTATTTTAAAATATGATATATGTGACTGCATATGTAAGCGTGTGGAACATAACTTTCGTCTGATCCCAAGCTAAGCATGCCCTTTACTATGGTAACCAGACTGCTGATGAACAGACTTTTATAACACTATTACGGAATACATGCATGTTATAGATAAATTAAAAGATTAATGGATGGGAATTGCACCAAGGCTGCTGGTTTAGCAGTCACGATTGTCAAAACGACAAGACCAAAAGGCCGTCAAAATGACTTGAAAATTTAGTTTAGATATATATATATGTAATCGACTTTGATGAAATTTAAGCTGGAAAAATTTATGTAGAAAATCAGTTTCAATACGAGTGAAGGCGCTGAGGAAAGCTGCTTTTTTTAAAATAAAGCATAATACAATCATATTGTCTATCAATCTCAATAAGACATAAAAGCCACGATGGCTTTTATATTTAGAATTATCTTTATTAGAATGGGTTACAGGTTTTTTTTCTGTAGGAAATGTTCAGTCAGACGCAAATTGGGCTATATATCGTCATTACCGAGCGCCGTGGGCGGGTGTCACCGCCACAATACTTTTGTACTGCAATTGTGTGTTGTTCAATGTTCGAGACTTATTGCGTTCTTTGTCATAGTGGTGCATCTCTTTAGTGAAAGTTATTGGAATATATTATTTTGTAGGAGTTTTTGTAAGAAATTGTCCGAATTATACACTTCTGTAGTTAATTCTGAGGTAGAAGTCTTCCATTTGAATCCCTTTTAAATGTTTTATCTACATAAATTAATTATTATTTTATATTCCATTCATAATTATTAAATATTAAAAAAAAATACTACTTAATTATCGGTACAAGTATTAATAAATTTCACTTTTTATTTTGTAATAGAATTGAATAAATTTATGTTTAATAAATAAAAACCAATGTCAATTAACTTTAGTAAACAAAAGTTAACTAAACAACTAATACCTAATATGTATAAAATTGTTCGTAATCCTTTGTTTCGTACAACATTTTTAGTTTATGGACTAAAACCTATTTGTAAAATAATGTACATAACACACCTAATCAGCCTTTTTATTAAACCAATTAAAACTTATAACAGAAACACTTTTAACATAACACGTGTTCTTTTTAAATATTGTAGTTTATCGTGACCTGAAAACAATGGTTACCTACCTCATTAAAAAAACAATGTGTTTACCTAAGGTCAACCAAGAAAGTAACACCGTAAGGGTTTGTTAATTATTTGAATATATTATGAGGTAAAACACAGAACAGTGGTTCTATTATGTAAGTTAAAATGTCTAGTTATAATGCTTCTATAAGCCCTTACGGGACTTGAATTTTTTACTTACATTAGAATCGGATGATTGTAAATAATCTGCAATGTTGGTTATGAAAAATGGTAGGCTAAAAAAGATTTTTTTGTCATGTGAAAAACAACAATCAACCAATCGTCATTCTATCGTCACAGTCCAAACCCGAAACTACTTATTTGCAATTCCTGGCCTCGCTGTACAGTAACGTTTGCATATAGTATGAACATAAAATTTCAGAAATATTGAGATTAATATCTAACTCAAACTTCTATTCATAAATGAGTGAATTACTATCAGAAACGTATAACTTATAAAAGACAGTATAACTTCTCAAAGTGTATTTAAAGTTTGAACACAACAAAATGTTCGATGTAATAGCTGTTAAACACGAAATCTCAATAGTTCTCAAAACTCATAACCGCACATAAAGTTTGTAAATAATCTTATATGACATCAAATTCTAAATTTAATAGTCATTACCATTCCATTAGACTCTGATGCACTTCATTAATATTAATTCTATTTAATAGTTTAATAAAATAATAATCAACCTAAAATGCAACGAGCCAATCTATTTTTATTGAGAGAAAACTTCAAGTTGTGCCCCACAGGTGGTCAGTTGTAATTATTAAATAAAATTAATTGTTTAGTTTTTTTATTAATTTGATAATTTAATAATAATTCGAATTTAGAAATAAGTTAATAGAATATTATCTCCAGTTGTTTGAAGATTTAATTTTAGAATCTTGTAATGGATTGGTGGCGATGAACGGTGTTTATTAATTATAATTTGCATTAATAGCCTTTTGGGATTGAAGTATCGAATAACTGTTGGATTAAGATGAATTTATTACTGTTGACAGTTAAATTATGATATTATTTAAATATTTTTTACATTTTATAGTAAATTACATTGGAACAGGAAATTGGCTTTCTATGAACATAGATAATAAAAGATATCGGTTTATAGATATAATTTGGAAGTTTAATATAAATTATATTTCATTGTGTAATTAAAATTCAAAAGAATAAAGTTGAAAGTTTTTAACAAAACCGACTTACAAAACAATGTTTTTTTTTTCAGGCAAATTCCACGATATCTCTGACTTTGAAAACAGAATTTAATATTTCTTTTGAGTTTTTTTTTCTTTAAAAAGACAACTCCCGCACTAGGAATAAATCCTGTGTCGCGGACTTAACAAACATATATGAAACGGACACAAAGTACACCCAGACTCCATATGGGGTTTGAACCCACCACACTCGGCGTAATAGGAAGCGGCGTGGCGACCGCTTAAACCACTACGCCATCCGTGCAGTCCTAATTTAATATTATATCGTCAGAGCGCTCAAATAATCCTACCCAAGGGTGTCAAAATATCTGAAGAAATTAAAAAAAATGCATTGAAATTGATTTCACTCTTTTTTACAAATCGCAAATTTCTGTTATGGCTTAAAATTTTTATGTAAATAACATTATTCATGTTAATTATAATCAATTATAAAAAAAACTGTTTAAAGTTTCCTCAGTATCAATAAATGAAATAAAAAATAATGTTTTATAATTACAACAAACCTAATAGAATTGCCATAACAAATAATAAGAATTAATCTACCGTTTGTGCTCCCACAATGCTAAAGAACTCTCCCGCTATATTCTATTAATGGTTTTTATGACTTTTGTATGCTATTTTCTTAGAAAGTATTAGAAATGTAATAAAATTATGACATCTGCATCGTCTATTTTTAGCCGACTGTGGCGAAAAGGGACAAATTAGGTTGACATGTACTCACGCCCTTCCCTGTTACTGTTTGAAAAGACTATCAATACAGATAGCTCCGTTCCTGTCAAAAAATATATTTATGGAACAGTTTTTGTTTCTAAATAAAAGTTACCATTATGTCCTTTTTTTGCACCTGGCAACGTCTATGCAAAATCTCAAGATCATCAGTTCAATAGACGTAAAGCCGTAACACACTGACTCAATTTCGGTTTTATAAAAACTAAGTCAAATAATAACATCGTCAGAAGTTGAAACCTAGTATTTACAGTTTAGAACCTAACCGTTGTGCACACGCCGTTAATGCATAATATTTTATCACAAACATTTGGCTTATAGAGGTACTTTAGACCTGACCCTTGCTTGCTACTGTAATGATATTAAGACATACTTATAAACAGTCATGGGGATGGAATAAAATCAAATTCATTAATTATAAATAATACGATCCATAAATCATAATCACACCTGTGACTTATTTAAAAAAGCACTGCGACTTACGATTATGATTAAGTTAGCACCAGACTCGACTAAATCTAAAAACAGACTCGACTAAATCAAAATAAAAAGAGGACGTAGTCTTATAAAAGGTTCATTTTTATCTTTGCTTAAGTTTTTGACGGTCCAAACCCCAGTAG